GCACACAAACACGTACACACGCACACACACGCACATACCAGCACACTTACACAGGCACATACCAGCACACACACACACGCACACAGTGGGAGACACTGTTGTAAGAAGCTACGCGCCGGCAAAAATAGGCCAGCGAACGTGTGTGGTCCACATCTACTGCACCGAGCGTCCAGACGCCCTTCTCGTGTCTGACCAGGGCGTACGAAGGTGTGGCACCCTCTGTCTAGACTTGAGTGAAGACCTCTACAGACAGCACCCGTCTGGAATGCCCTACCATAAGTCTAGACGGTCCAGAGAGATTCAGACGACGATGATTTTTGGCGATACAGAAATCAAGGTCCAAGGATTTCAAGTTTTTTTTTTTCATTTTTTGTTTGTTTGTGAGCTTGAGGGAATTATATTAATCTGGAATAATTATTAAATATATAATAGTTTTAAATAATTATATATATTTATTTATATAATAATATATTTATATATAATATTTAAAGTTGTAATTATGATTTAATTCTGCCTCGAAAGGTGTCGGCGGTTGACGTCCACACTGGGAAGTGTGTCAGATCTGTCATCGACTTCCTGGGCAGATGATGACGACCTGCTTTTTTTGTTTAATTGTTGTGCGCTATATCATTTGTTTATTTACTTTTGTTTTTTATTTATTTATTTATTTATCAGTTCTTTCGTTCGTTCATTCTTTTATTGAATCCTCCATACAATCATTTATTTATGTTTGTAAAGTAATTTTTAAATTCATTTTGGTTTAATAGTTGACAATTTGATTGAATGAATGAATGAATGAACGGGTGAATGAATGAACAGATGAATTAATAAGTGATTGAATGTATAACTGGACAATTAAATGCACCAATGAATAAACAAACAAACGAATGAATGAATGAAAAAACAACCAAAACAAAGAAAGAAAGAAAGAAAGAGGGAGGGAATGAATAAATTCACGTATTTATTCTTAAATAAAAATGATCTATATACAAACACCAAAGCTGGCCAAACGAAGGCAACACACACACACACACACAACACACACACACACACACAACACACACACACACATACAAACACACACAACACACATAACACACCAACACACACACACACACATACAAACACAAACATACTAATACACATATATACACACACACAAACACACACACTTATATGTATATAATATTGGGCCTCCAAAAAACATTGCAGCCCTTGGCCTTAGGCAAAAAAGTTTACCCCTTCTATCTTGACACCTAAAGGCCTTATGTGTTTCATGTAAAGAAAATCATATCTTTACTTTAGTTTAATTTCTGTATTATGAATTAATTAATTAATTGATTAGTTAATTAATTAATTACTTTGTTTATTTATTGAAGAAGATGTATTGTTTGTCATTTGATTTTGTAGACTTCATTTGGAAGATTTTGGTAGGATGGACTTCGTCGGTTGGTTGGATTTAGAAAATGTCTGACGTGAATTTTTACAAACACATAAATACATACATACATACATACACCCATACATACATACATACATACATACATACATACACCCATACATACATACATACATACATACATACATACATACATACATACATACATACATACATACATACATACATACATCCATACATCCATACATACATACATACATACATACATACATACATACATACATACATACATACATACATACATACATACATGCCGACGAAAGCGAATAACGAGATATCAATTGTTAACCGGTTTTATTCAGAGGTTCGACTGTTTAGTGTCATTCATCACTAATTTGGTTTTAACATACATACATGCATACATACACATACATGCATACATACACATACATACAAACACACACACACACAGACTTACAAGCATGTTGGTTAATCTGATAGCATATTTCAAGACATCTGCAATAATTACTCCGAACAGTAATAAAAACGTTTAATAGGCACAATTAAGTAATGAATAATGGGCCCCCATTTGCATTACGTAAGTTAAGTTGGTCGGGTTACCAGCTCCGGGTCATGCATAATCGGGCGAGGTCAAGAGGTCAAGGAACATTTGGGATAGCGGATCGAATTGAAGTTATGTAGGTCATACTGGGTAGTGTGTTTTTTATGCAATTTGAATCTGTATGGTGCGTGTGTGTGTGCGTGTGTGTGTGTCTGGGAGGATTGTGTATGTTGTGTGTTTGTTTTTGTGCGTTTGTTTGTTTAAACGAGTGAACGAACGAACGAACTTACACACGAACGAACGAACCAATGAGTCAACTATTCATTAACAATATCAGACAAAATGATAAGACCAAAACTTTTTGATTTTTGAGACTTTCCGATAGGAAGAGTTGATAAAATATTATTGAAGAATTTATAGAAAATAGAAATAGAACAATTTGTTACAAAAAAAGACGAATATAAATAGTTAATTAATTAATTAAATTTAAAAAATATTTGAATTCTTTAAAAAAATGTACAAAATATAAATAGAATAACAGAAGAAATGAATCAAAAACGTAAACTCAATAATAAAAATCACACTTACTCTCTCTCACCCTTTCTCTCTCTCTCTCTCACACACACACACACACACAAACAAATACACACAAACAAACACACACACAAACACAATAATTTTCATTACCTAAATAGATTCCTCGTTTTTTATAAATTTTTATAGGCAGCTTCGTCGGCCATTTTTTTCTCTTTCGTTCTCCGGTTCTGAAACCAAACTTTGACCTGGAATAAAAATAATAATTATAATAATAATATAATAATAATTATAATAATAATATAATAATTATTATATTATGGGAACAATCTTTCTATTCAGCAATAAAAACAATGAAAATGGAGTACAAATAAAGTAAAATTATGAAATGAAATAAAGTGTCAAATGCAGTAAATGGAGTATTAATCTGAGAAGCTCATCATTCGAGTCGGGAGGAGGGTACGACAAGAGTTAATCAGTTTTAAAATTGGTTCATCTCACATAATAATGGGAACATTCTTTTATTTACCGAAAAACAAAATCCAAATGGAATCCATCGAAAATTATTAATTATATATTAGAGTGTAAATAAATAAAATATAATATATAATGTACGATCCTCTCATGCTCTTTGATCAACAAGTGCTTGAGAGTAAAAAAGATATATTTAAAATCGGTTAAGTTGTGTTTCTGTCACAATATATGCTATATGACGAGCTAATTACCGCGTTAATCCATTATAATATTAATAATAATAACGATAATAATAATAATACACATAATAATTTAACATAATAATATAATAATTATAATAATATTGATAATAATAATATGATCAGGGTAAGGAGAAAATAAATTTTTGAACTTGTGTCTCTGTGAGGCCAAGTTTACTTGCCAGCTCCCTTCGACGCTCGCCAACCAGATAATGCCTGAACCTGAAAATCTTCTCCAAACAATTCATCTGCGCTGTTGTAAAGGCAGTCCGTAGTCTTTTCAATTTGTTGTTGTTGTTGCTTGTTGATGTTGTTGTTGTTGTTGCTGATGTTATGATGATGTTGTTGTTGTTGTTGTTTTTGTCGTTGTAGGTGTTGTTGTAGGTGTTTTTGTTGTTGTAGTAGTAGGTGTTGTTGTTGTTGTTGTTGTTGTAGGTGTTGTTGTTGATTGTGTTGTGAAGACATTCGTCGTCGTTGTTGTTGTTGATGTAATTGTTGTTGCTGTTTAGTATGTAGGTGTTGTTGATATTGTGGTTGTTGTTGTTGAGAAATTTGTTGTTGCTGGGAAATTTGTTGTTGATGATGCGATTTATGTTGCTGTTGTTGTTGTAGTTGTTGTTGTTGCTATCTAGCACGTGAGCGTTGATGTTTTTGAAATATTTTTCGTTGCTAATGTAGTCGTTGTTGATGTTGTTGAAATTGTTGCCACTGAATGTAAGAATGTTGCTGTAGTTTTTGCAACTAAAATAGTTGATGCTGTTAAATAACTTGCTGTTACTAATGTTGTTGTTGCTAATGTTGTAAATATTGTCAACTTTGTTGTCAACTTTGTTGTTGTTGTTGTTGTTGTTGGTAATGTTGCAAATGTTGTCAATTTCGTTGTTGATTTTGTTGTTGTTGTTGTCAACGAAGTAGTTGTTGTTGTAAAGGCAATAACTACCAATGTTGTTGAAGTTTGGATTAATACAATTGTTGTTGTTGTTGTTGATGTTGCGGTAGCCAATGTTGTTGCTAGTGATGTTGTTGTATATGATGTAACTACTGTTATTGTTGATGTTGTTGTCAACAGTGTTGATGTTGTTGTCGATGCTGTTGTGTCTGTTGATGTTGTTGTCATTGTTAACGTGATCAAAGTTGAAAATGTTGTTGTTGTTGCTGGTACACATTGATGGTAACGGTGATG